CTCCTGACCAATAATCTCTAAAAGCTACAGACAAACACCTTTGGCTTCACTGAGCGATATCATCAAAAAGAAAAAGCTGTTTCACGGTCACAGGATGGAGGAGGAACTAACTGTGGTAGCGGTGTTGCAACATGTGGGTTGTTTCACACACTGACTGCAATAAACCACAGAATCCGCTGAAGTTTAATCAAATTCCTCAAAGCACTCAAAGTGCACATTTTGAGTCTAATCTTGAAATTGTCCCTTGGATCTCCATGTAGATAAATCCTACACTGTGTGACTGTCAGCCCATATTTTCTTTCATAAAATAAAAAGTTTTTTACATGTTATTATATATTTTTGTGCCAAATGTATCTTTCTCAATAGAATTTAAGGAAAGTTTATAGTTTTAATACTATGAAGTTTCTCATTATAACATTTCATACATTATTATATAAAATATTCTCCTTTATAACAAAAATACATTTGAATGCATCTTGCTCTAACAAAGCACAGCTGATTTATCACTAGCTTAGAGTTTAAATCAACTGTTCGCTCCTTACAAAGTGTAAGCAGCTGCTAATTACAGGAAGCAGCGTTGGACAGATGAATCAGCTTTATTGGGTCAATAAAAGACTACTGATCCTTAAAAATCAAAATCAAAGTGTAAGGAAATTAGACAGCAGAAACATCCACTAACCTCACTTATTCTCTTCGCCTTGTGCTTCCATTGAATGAGTATCCACAAGAAATAATAAAAGTGTCTAATCCCTCGCCCACAGCTACGTACAGGAAGTCAACTTGAAACTGTATTATGAGAAAGAGCAAACTAATCTGCTCTGCATTGACATCATGAATGTCCTGGTAACAAGGTCAGGGAAGAACAAAGAGGCTGTTTGAGGAGCTGATGAAAGTCACGCTCGTGTATATTCCTTTAGCGATAGTCAACACAGGACAGGACTGTAAATAAAGAACTTCAACACATAAACCCATAAACACACAGGCGAGTTGATAAGGACGACATACGATCAGACTGTAAAGAGCAAAGAACAGTTTATGGATAACGGACGCAGCCTACATTTGGAGGTGTGTGTGGATTATTAATTATCAACAACACATACATACAGGATGTGGGTAACTACAGGTAACAGCCCCAAACTGAGGTACACTGATTTGTTACTGGTTTAACAAACAGGTTGATCAATTACCAGTTTAAAAATGTACAAGGGCCTAATAAATGTAGGGATACAACTAATGATTATTTCAATCAACAGTCCAAACCCTGAATGTTTGTCAGTAACAACAATATTAATCAGAGAAAAGCCGCAAATCTTCACACTGCAGAAGCTGGACCTACGTAATATTCAGCATTTTTAATATGAAATGTTGCCAGTTAACTAATCAATTAATAGAATAACTGTTTTGGTCCTAATATATATCTATATAATAATATTAAATTACCATAATAGAGAATTGTATCTATATCACCCACTTCTAACACTAGGTAAGTGAAATGACAAAGACCTGCTAGACCAGATTAGTTTGCCTCTGGCTCTTGATTTGGGATCATGATCACAAATAAAAATAAAAAAATAAAACACCTCCTGTTTGAATACAGTATGAAACATAATTTGTTGTAATCAAAATCGATCACATTATTGATATTAAGGAAATAGTCCGAAACGTCCAGAGCTGCAATCAACAATTATTCACATTATTAACTAATGATGTGAATAATAAAGTGAAAACTGTCACTATCTCCTTAAGGCTAAGGTGACATCATTAAATGTCTTGTTTTGGTCAACCAACAGTGCAAAACTTCATATATTAAGTGTATTATTATAGAAATCAGCAGTATTAGTAGTAAGTAGTAGTAAATCATTGCACTTTTTGGCATTTTTTCATTTTCTAAAATGATTAAACCCTTATCAAAATAGTTTATAATAGTAAATAATAGTTTATGATTTCAGATAGCTAGAAATACAACATGATGCCAATATCTGCTAAGTCAGGTGGAAACATAATCTACACCAAAT